GACTCATGTCTCGCCAAAAGTAGCTTTTTTATTGTGCATTGTAGAAAATGGTAACTTTGGTTGATCCAGATACGAAATATCCACTTCCGTTGCTGAGCAAGCAGATTGTCAGTCACGATACACGAAAGTTTCGGTTCAAACTGCCTACCGATGAACATATCCTTGGCTTACCAGTCGGCCAGCATATTCACCTCTCCGCAATGGTGCGCAAAAAAAGCTTACAAAAGTCATAGACGCTACTGTTTTTTTCGGGCCTTAAATCGGAATGTGACTGTTGCTTCGGCGGGGAATATTTAATGGTTTGGTTCCCCAAAATTATGAAATTCTCGAACCTCCTCTGCAGTCCTTTCTCTCTCCCCGCTCTTCTCACTCCCTCGCTCCTCCACCCGCCTGGAAGAAAAATTAGGACTCGCTGAGAGATAATTTTTGGAAAATTTCACAGAGGAAAAGGATGCGAGACATTTCTTGTACTGTTGAAAGTTTTGATGGCATTTTCGAATTTTATTTTTTAATTTTAAACTCTTCAGGTCGATGGAAAACTTGTTGTACGTCCGTATACGCCAATCTCGTCGGACGATGATAAAGGATTTGTTGAGCTGATGATAAAAGTTTATTTCAAAAATGTGCATCCGAAATTTCCAGATGGGGGCAAAATGTCTCAGCATCTCGAAGGAATGAATATAGGTTGTAAAAATTGGACAGATTTTTAGGCTGTAATTGCTCATTAATTAAAAATGGAGTGCTTCTTGAAGTTGAGGAGTTTAAAACGCTGTTAAGACTTTTGATTCTTTACAAATCTGATAAAAAGATAAGTAACTAGTATCCGTCATTTCAGGTGAGACAATTGATTTTCGTGGTCCATCGGGGTTAATAGTGTATGAAGGCAATGGTGTATTTGCCGTGAGAGCAAAAAAGACAGCAGAACCGAAGCGCAGCACCTACAAAAATATTGGGATGATTGCAGGCGGTAGCGGGATTACTCCGATGCTTCAGGTATGTTCACTTTGCTTTTTTATAACTCTGGTAAATTAAGCAGAACTGGTGTAGCAATACGCTCAAAGCGAAAGCTGTGTTGGGATAAACAGAGGTATCTCGTGATGTGGAAAAATCCCTTCCATCTCTTTCTCCTGCTTGAGATCAGGATCAGAAAATGATCTGTATAAGAAAATGGACAAGAATGTGATTTAGCGGACACAAGGCTTATCAAATTAACGCTAAACTCACGCAGAGCAGTATTGAACTTGGTCACAGGGCATCAAATTCAGCTGGAAATTGATGTATTAAAAAAAAAAAAACCCCAAAAACTGGATCAGAAAGAGTGCCGAATTCGGTGTTATAAGCTAAGAAATTTGACTGCAACAATACATCTCAGATTCGTGAAGCGTGATGCTGGAAAATGATGAGTTGTTTGCGGTGAAGCCTGCTTTCACTGTATTAATACGATGAGTACCAAAGTCTTAATTTGCTCTTTGCACTGCGTAGATGAACATTCATGTGTGGATACGCTGCGTTCTTCATCAAAATCAATTCTCTATGTTTGAATACTAATTAATGTTGAGCCATACTTTTTTCTACAGGAAAAGTTGCAGATAATTTCGGCAGTGCTGAAAAATCCGAATGATCACACAAAGCTATCACTGCTTTTCGCTAATAAGGATGAATCGGATATTCTGTTGAGGTTAAAAATCTTGTTTGTTTATGGTTTTCAGGATAGAATTAGATTTGCAGGCGCAAAATTCTTCAACAGATCTATCTTCATTTATCACTTTATGTCTTGCACCATTTTAGCTTTGCAATTACACTGTCTTAAATGCACAAATTGTTGTATACATACAAAAGATTGATAAATTTCTAGAGATGAGTTGGATCGCTTAGCTGAGAAGCATTCAGACCGATTCCAAGTCTGGTATACAGTTGATCAGCCAACATCTAACTGGAAATACTCACAAGGTTTTCTTTTTTTTTGAATTACTACCACTTTATAGTCATAAGGTGGTAGTCGTCGAGCAGGGTAAGCAGAAACTAATACAAAATATTGATTTGGCTTTTTTCAATGAAAAGAGAAACACTCATTTCTGGCCTAAATGAGGGCAGTTTCTTAACCAATACCAGTAAATCGAAGCCAGTATCTGTTTCACTTCGTCCACTGAACGACTCACCAGAATCGTTCATTGTGGCAAAGGATTAGTCGAATTTATTAATCGAAATAAATCATTATTTCTTTTATAAATTTTTTCTTCGAAGGGACAGGCCAGTTTATTGGTAAGCAGCTGTGTAGCTCGATTCCGGGAATATCTAGGGCGGAGATGGTTTTGCGTATGACAGAGTACAGGCCAGAGAAATCGATGGTAGGGAGATGTGACGGGTCAGGAGAACGAACTGAAGTATGTCCTCCTCCTTGTATAAAGCGCTTTATGATTTTCAGGGTTCGTTAATGCAAGCATGATCGGAGAACATCTGCCGAATCCCAGTGACGATACAGTGATTTTGATGTGTGGGCCGCCACCAATGATTAAATTTGCATGTTCACCAAGCCTTGATGAGTTACATTATCCAAGCAGCAGTCGTTTGATTTTTTAATTTTTCATGTTTTGGAATCCTACAAAAGCAACGGATCTTGCTTAAGTTATTATAAATTTCTTTTCATGTCCAAATTGGGGATGTTGTTCAATTTCAGTGGAGAAAAAAATATTTTAAATGTTAAAATTTTTTTCGGGTGATTTCTGCTGCTTTTGGTTTTTCTTCGGCATTGGCCGCAGTTCTGACTGAAAACGGGCACTTTGAAACTTTAGTGTTTATCAGTAGTAGTTTTACTATGCTCACTGATTACTGTTGTTGTTCAAATGTGTCATGGAACTTTAGACTAAAAGGCATTAAGCCTGTTTTTTCCAACGAGTGCTTCATTCTTCGAGAATCCATACCGTTAAACAAGACAGTTGGCTTTTAAAAAGGCCTCAGATTAATATTCCGTAAGACAGTTCTTATGCGCATTCTACTTCTACAGCGTTCCACAACTCTTATTGGGATTTCTGCAACGCTTGCACGATTTTATGATGCTAAAGAAGAAAGTGGTGCATACTTTTGGTTGTTTTGATAAAGGCATTTTGAACAACTGTATACATTTCGCAATATACCCTGTATACATTTTGATAAAGGCAGTGACAATATACCCTTCAAGCGTTTTCTTTTTTTTCTGAATAAAGGCTATGTTTTTAATAAAGACTATTTTTCTATGTTTCAGATTGTTATTTAGATCGGATTCTTTTAGTGATCAGTGTTCTTTGCTATGCTTATTTGCTTCCACTTCTTGCGCTTTTTCACACCTTTTGTGCCATTAATACCGGCACAAATTTGTTTAAGAAGTTGTTTCTTTGATGTCGTCGAATTTTCTTTGTCAAATTGAAATGTGTTTGACTTTACTTGTACTAACATTATGCGCATAATAGCACAAAGGCGCAACATTTTTTATGCATTACTCTGTCATGCGTACAGTTATGCCGTACCTTTTTATTTGCTTAAACTGCACATGTCTTGAAGCTATTTTTACCAAAATGCATTTCTAGAAAGTGCTGCTTTGCATCCTAGGTAGAAATAATATTAATTTAGCTGGGAATTCGTATTGTGTGCATTTGGCTTGATAAAACACAGCGCATTGTTTTTGTCTACTCTCGCCATGCTTAAACACAGTTCACACCGGTGTGTGGAACTCATGACGCTGTTGCCGTAATTCAAAATGTTCTTTGCTAATACAGAGTTAACTAATTTATTGTATTTTTCGAATTAAAAAAAAAATGGCGTGCGTCAGAGTTCCCAGTAGGTCCATGCATTTCTGTCCAATTCTTGTACTATTAAAACTGTTAATAAAGCGTTTACTGCTGTACAGTTCGACATGTGCAGTCATACTGAGAATGTTTCTGATGAAATTTTCTTCCGCGGTCGGAAGTGAGAGCTATCGGCTGTACCGCCGGTATTGCACAGTGCTGAAATTTTAGCATTCTTGCATGTTCGACTACCTTGAGCGGAGGATGTTAACGATTTTGCTAGTAAAAATTTGATGTGTGCACACACGGCACTTGGGCGTACGTTAACGTGGAAGTACAGTTTTCTACTGATTTTTGGATTAGGAGGATGGCCGTAGTCTTGCAGCTTGAATGTTTTGGTGTATCTGAAAGCGAGGTTTAACTATAAACTTATTTTGCCTTTGAGAACCCGCATACAGAGCAATCAAAAAAATTGGCCAACGCACGGGCTGCCCGTGCGAAGATACGTTTTTTTGCAGAGTTCCCCGCAGTTTTTGTCGCTACTGGTATCGGTTTTTTCGGCAGATGCTTCTAGTTGAAAGAATTTCAGACTGTCCGCCAGAACTGCCAGGAAACATCCCCTCAAAATTCCAGTCTTCTAGCTTCTCACGTTCTCGAGTA